TGAAGAATCAACAGTTTCTGTGGTGCAGACTTATATATACATTTGTATGCGTGTATATACGTTTTGTTTTCATGTACTTCTGTTATACGCTTACAATACACAAGACACAATATTTAATACATCAAATATATTTTAAGATTTATGATTTGAAATTACTTTTTTCCCGTTTAGAATGGAATGTAGAATTTATCAAAAGGACAAACCTCGAGAGAGCGCTTTAGACATTATCGGTGGAAGGCGGGCACTATAGATACACTTTTTGGGTTTCGGTGTATTGTTAGCTCATGGGGAGCTAACATTAGCTTACTACCGGGCTCGTGCAGCTATCATAACACTTAGCTTCTAGCCCATCACATTATTGTTTTATTGTCAGGAAATTTAAACTTTAATTTAATTTTCAATATAGCGAATTTCTCTTTATAATAAGAACAAATTATTTGAATTTAGGGGGTGCGTTATATGGGAGTTCTACTGTGTTAACATAATAAATATTTTTGTATTAAGTTCCCATCTTTTGACAATACGTCATAACACTACTACATTCAATATATAATAGTATGTACAAAAGTAAATTTTAAATTTTTATAGTGAAATAGAACGGGACAAAAACCATCAGCACAGACTTTAGATGGCTTCTTTAATGACATATTTTAAAAAATTTATCTTATATTCTTCAACATGTGAACTCGTTTATATTGCACATATTTATGTATGTATATATATATATAATTCGAAAGCATACATATATGTATGTATGTTAAAACAAGAAAGCAAAATAAGGTTTATCTTTTACGCTTACGAGCTCCTTTTTAAATTAAAACAAGGTAAGAAAGACTTGAATGAATTTAGGTTTTTTATTATTTTTTTTCTATTCTCTTTTTATAAAAAGGGAAACAATTATAAAGTTTTAAAGTGAAGAAGAGTAAAACCCCAGAATCCCAATCAAGTTCTTTTGTTTTAAAGTTTTTCGGTTCGTTTATTTACATATGCTTTAGTTCTGGTTTTTATTTTCGATTTTGTTTTTTTATATTTCTGAATTCGACTTATAACAATTCTCTTTTTTTTCTGTTATACTTGCCATATTACTACTAATTTATTTAATTTTATATGATTTTTATATTTTTGACTACTCAACCACTTCCTCGATCAGACAAAAGTATAATAAGAGTGTTAAGGAAATTTTCATTTTCTTTTTTACAATTTAATTTTCATATGGTTTTGATTAAGTTAAATAGCTGTCTAATTTGCATATCGTAATGTGGGATGACAATTGTTAAATAATTATACAATGTGTGTTTGAATGGTATTTCTAGCAAATATCAATAATTACGATAAAGTTGGTAATTTAGTAAAATATATGTAATAAAATAAATACGATTAAGTCGGTAAAGTAGTAACATAATTACGATAAAGTCGGGAATGTAGTTGAATAAAAACGATGAAAACGGGAAGGTAGTAAAATAAATACTATAAAATCGGTAATGTCGATCTTATACAAAAATGTTTTCCAAGTATTCTTCCTCCTTGTGGTGAAGGACAAAAACTTAAAAAGAGAAGAACAATAAGGATGAGCAAGAAGATGAGCTCTTAGAAATTCGAAAAAAAAAACATCTAAAAAAAATTTCAAATTGAGAACAGCAGTACATATAGCTTCTATAGGCAGACAAGTATAATGCGTCGGCGCAATTTTTATGGAATGTAGAACATTGATTGATAAAAGACGAGAAAATCCGAAGAAATTTGCACTTTGAATGTCGGTGGAACTATCTACTGAACTATACAGGTACTAAATCTGCAATTTATTATTTTGAATGATTTAGAACTCCACTTACAATTGTGAAAAATCATTTTAATTTCATTATCAACAATTCTATTTCATTTTTTCTTCTTTAATAACTTTAATTTTCTTGTCCCAAACTTAAAATTCTTTAATTATGATTCATCATACAAATCATATTGTAAAATTTTAGAAACAATTAAAAATTCACACGATTTTCGATTTCCTTTCGATGTTTACAAATTTTATAATATAAACAATAAATGTGATAAAATAAATCCAGACTTGAAAATCATTGCCCTAAAGACTGGATTTATTTTAGTAAACATTCGCTTGTGATTTTTAAATGTCTACAAAATTTCAAAAATCCACTTACAAACATAAATAATACAAAGAATTTTGTTTATTATTTTAAAATACAGATGATAATTGGTTTGTTTATTGTTTCAGTTCAATCAAGGGAATAATCTTTGAATGCATATTTAAAATTTAATTCGATGACTATGGAACTCCTACATACAGTCAATAATAATGCCATTACCTAAAATAAGAATGCTTGAAAAATTTTTAAATCACAATTTAAACTTTAACTTTGATTTCGGATTTATAAATTAAAGTACCGCACACCACAAAGCTATGAAATTTATTCCAATTGACATACATATGTCATTTGTCATATTGTGACGTAAATATATGACTTATGCCATGTGTGCCACTTTTAATTTAAATTTGGCTATCGAAATCTACCATACCATTTTGTTTTATCATTGTTCTCACAATACTACATCATGTTGCTGCTGTCTGCCAATTTATACTCATAATAAGTAAATCTCTCTATTGTACTCCCAATAAAATAAGTGTAAAGGACGCTTACCACTGCTATGTAAATATGTCTTCATTCGGAGCTTCTCACTATTCTGGTCTTGTGTATATTTTAAGATCGGGTGTTTATCTCATATTATCGTCTCATCTAATATAATTTTTGTTTAAACATTTTAAATAATGTGGTCATATTAAGATTATATTCAAACTTAACTATAATATTATGTACAAAAATGTTCAAATTAGAATAATACAGAAAAAAAATGAAACAAACAATCTTAATTAGATAAAAAAGGAAGACCATATAATAAAAATAATCCTTTGGGATTTAAAATTTAGAAATAAAACTAATTTGAAACGTGCGCACTTACTTATTGTGATAATAACATATTAATTGTATTTGTTTCCGGTTATTAACATTATAATATGATATATAGTTGATGAGTGACATGTTAAATTAATTTTAAAATTATTATAAGATTGCCATACGTACAACAAGTAGCAAGAACTTGTGATTAGCAACGGACTTCATATGTTATGGGAATTAATATGGATTAAATAAAAATATAAGAAAATTCAATATCACATATGAAATTCTGCGATGGAATAAATTGAACTAAATCATTAACGTGCTTTTACAAAATTGTCAATCTAAGTTTACACTCTCTCTGCTATAAGCAATATAAATAAAAATATAACGAATTTATACGAAAGAGTGCATAAACTAAAGGGTTCAATTTTCTAAATGTTGATCTTCAAAAGTTATGGGTATGATTTGTGAGAAATATTATGTGATTAAATTTTTGTTTCTGCAAATTTTTTACTTTTAGTTCTATCTGATTATAAGAGAAACTAAATCTAAAGCCAATTTAATCTAACATTCTTTTGACCTCATAATTAATTAGCTAATCTAGAGTCGTGATCTTGAGTCATGATAATTATGAATTATTTGAGTATTTGACTTGCCTTACTTGCTTTCCATGTTGTATATATGTTAGTTTTAAAATATATATTGTATTTATGGTGTATTTCATTTGTTGAAGTTCAAGCACGCTGCCAAAAAACATACATATAGGGCTTTTTATTACTTTGCTCTGAATTTTCCGAAGTTCATTAACATATTTAGCAAATGTATTTACCCGTATTCCAATACAATACGTAATTACGCTGTGAAACCGTAAGCTGTTCTTTACATTTATTATTTGAGTTAAATTACAAAAAAATAAAAACATTACAATTTTACAGTGTTGGCAACTCCAAAATCATAATAATAACGTAAACAACGAAAATGACATGAGAGAAAAAATAAAGAGAAAAATTTTCTAACCAAAAAACAAAAATGTGAAAATAGAGGGAGCTGTAAATTTTGTGATAAAAATCACCCTCGATATGGGAATATCAATTTTCGTTTTGAGATTTTCGAATAAAATGTTTTCTCTACGATATCTACCTCAAACCTTCACTTTAACTTTTTAAAATGAAATGTAACATAGAGAAGACAAGAATAACTACAAAGCAATACTTATATTTTAACATTCAAAATATATGCGACATAAATTTAATTTTTATTGTCCTGTTTTTAGTTTTTATTACGCGACTTCGTAAAAAAAAAATTTATTTTATACTGAAATTGAAAAACAAAAAAAAAACACCAAGAATTTTTTTTTATTCTTAATATTAAAGAACAAATTTTTAGATGGTGTCATCTACAAATGAGATTATTATTAAGTGATTTTGAATTATATGTTGTTATTTTTGGTGTTTCACAATTTTTTTTCTTACTTTTGTTTTTTTGGTTTAAATAAGTAGGTATGTAGGTATGTTATATGTGTTTAAGAATTGCTCCCTGGGGATCACCACCATCCAAGTCTTTTAAAGTTTCTTTTCTTGTTATATTTTTCTTGGTTGAACATTAACCCAACATAAATCAACTTTTAGAAATATATTTGTTGCTCTATACACCGTATACGATATTGAGTTTTTTTATGTTTAGTGGGATGTTCAATGGAATTTTGTTTACATCCTTTTTTTGACTTTATAATTGTTTATTATTATCTTGTAATTTGATCATTAATTAGTTGAATAACTGAAATAAAGGTGGAAAAATTTTTTCAACACAAATTGTGAATGTTTTTTAAATAACTACCAATTGTGAATTGAAAAAGAATTTTCAAATCGCGTTTATCGCATACTTTCGGAGTAATTTTTAAAAATCTTGACTTAAAATGTCATCAAACCCTAATTGTTGCACACCTTAGCGTCAACGAAACCCTTACTTATTACAATAATGATCATTTTTTCAAATTTCTTTTGAAATTTATAAAAAAACTTTTGTATAAATTAGAAAAAAAAGATTATATTTAAAAATTCCTCTAATTTTTTAATTTTTTTTTTATTTTAGTGGTACATCAGACAAAGCACATTTGGATACATCAAGTGATTCTGAAATGGATGGATCAAATTATACGGGACAATCACAATCAGCACATTCACAAGCGCAACAGCAACAACATTCACATCATCATCAATCACCAATAAATAATAATAACAATAATAGTACATCAAATCATCATCATCATAGTAATCATAATTTAGTACATTCATCTTCATCTGCTACAACACCAGATGGTGTTGGCGGTAGTAGCGGTGGCGGAGGTGGTAGTAGTAGTGGTAATACTACAAATAATAGTGGTAGTAATAGCGGTCAAACAAATAATAGCAATAATAATAATAACGGTAATAATAGTTTAACATCAAGTCATCATCATCAGCAGCATCATCAACATCATCAGCAACATCATCATACGACAATATCAAATAATAATTTAGCAGCGATTAGCAATTTAAATGCATCATTAGTGGGAGTTAGTGCAAGTGCTGCAGCAGCAGCTGCTGTATCAAATAAATCATCATCATCAGTATCATCAGGTGCTGTTGGACAAATGCCACCATTATCAGCTGCTGTTGCATATTCACATTTACATAGTGTAATGGGTTCAATGCCATTATATGATATGGGAGATTATCAACATTTATGATTTTAAATTTATTTAATTTAAAATTCAAAAGCAAGCAAAATAAATCTAAATTATATATTGTAATATTGTAAAATTTTTAATTTTAATTAATTTAATTTTTTTTTTTAGATATATTCATGATGCAATTGGTTATCGATATTATTAATGGAATGCATAATAACTTTCATACAAATTCATTTCAAATTTATTAACAAGAATGGTTTTTGGAAGAAATGTGAACAGCTATTTATAGAAAATAATGAAATTTGCTTTACAGATATTTAAAAATTTTGGTATTTAATACAACCAAATTTCATTTTAATTTAAAAATTAATTTTAAAACTATACTTATAAAATTTCTGTTCAATTTGATAATTTGATCACGTATGAACTACCAAATTTTTTTTAATAACTTTGTCAAATTTTCTTATATCAATTCAACCGAATAATTTTAAAGAAAAAAAACTACTGTTTACCCGCGTATGCCATTGAAGCTACTTGCACTAGTATATATTGAGCGTATGCACAGGTTTTCTTTTATAATATACTTCTCACACACTCTCTCCTATAGAAATAAATTTTATTTGTAGAATATAGAGGGTGTGAGAAGCACAACGTAAATGATGTGCATACGCTCAATGCTTACACTTGTAAATAGACGCATTTTAATTAACTCTCTCTGTAATTATGTCATTTTTGCTGTCATTTTATTGTATGCTATCATTTAACTTTAGAAATTCAACAACACATATGTAATTTTAAATTAAAATTTGAAATTTTAATTTAATATCGATAACTCAATTAATCAGAAATATTAAAATTAATTAAAATAAAATATTTATATGTATATGTATTAAAAAAAAAATTCATTATGTCAATCACACATATTTTGTACATTAATTTTTAAATTATTTATAAATTTAACTTAAAATTAATAATATTTTTGAAATTTGTTTTAATTTATAATTATATTATAAGAATTTATGTAAATATTATATTAAAAAAACAAAACACATGTCAAATAATTTAAAATCTTAAAAAATGTTATAATTTTTTTTTTAGTTTTGCAATAACACATAATACAAATATAGTAAATTCACGCATAAATTTATTTTTTCCTATACAAAATAAAAAAAAAATAATTAAAATTAAAAAATAATCAAAGAATAAGCTTTTCTTTTTCTATTTTTATATATAAGAATTTTGTGCACATATAAGAATTATAAAAATAGAATTCTGTTATTATTATTATTATAATTAATGTACATATATATTATATATACATATATATAAATATTAATTTATATGAATATATGTAAAAATATATGAAACAAAAATATTTTATTTTTAACTAGCCATTTTTATTAATGAAATTCATTTAATGCATTTTTTCTTTATTTTTATATATACATGCATACAATTATAATGAAAATATAAAATTTAAAATCATTAAGAATAAATCATAATAAAAATTAAAAAAGAAATAGAAACAAAAATATAGAATAAATAAAAGAAAGAAAATAAAATAAAATTTTTAAATGTCATCACACTTATTAGAAATTAAGATGTAATATTTAAAAAAAAAAGGAGAGAAGCAAAGAAAATAATCGTATAACAGCAAATTGAATATGTACAACAAAAAAAAAAAAAAAATTCATAAAAATATTTAGGAGCACTTTAGCTATATATATAACAGAAATTTAAATAAAATTTACAGTAATTCTGAAATTAAAAATTTATTTTATATTTACATGAGTATATGCTTACATATAGAATTTAAATATACAATTAAATGCAATTTTTAATTTAATTACTTTCAAAATTTTTAAGTTCAAGTTCAAATTTATTTACATATATAATATTATAGTTTGTATAAATATTTGAACATTTTTGAATTTTTTTTTACTTTCATATAAATTTTAATTAAATATGCAATAAAAATACTAAAATAAACTGTCATTTAAAAAACAAAAAACTGTCATATTTGCTCAAAATTCAATACTTTATTAACTTAACTTAAATTTAAATTGGTTCGAGCACCGTTTATCCAAATTATTACTGGATGCCGCAAGTTTTAGTTTAATTACTGTCCGTTTAGAATTGGAAATGCTGTAATCGCACTGTAATTCTATGAAGTTTCATATAAAATTAATATTTGTCGATATTAATTTTGTGAATTGCTTGCGGCGTGCTGCAGAACCAAAACTTTATATATTTGATTTAAGTTGATTTTCAATTTTTTATCATTTTACATAAAAATTGTAATTTTAATTTATTGAAATTCTTAAATTAATTATAAATAATTTAAATAGCTTTATTGTGCGTCTCCCTTTTTACTCACAAGTTGAAAAGAAGTTGACAAGTTTAATGAAGCCAATACAACTAACTAAAATGCAAAATTCAGGTTTGAAAATGTAACTGAGAGTGAGAGATTTGTAAACATGACTGAGAATAGGGAAATTTGTACTAACAATAAGGCTATTGATTTTTTTGTTTTTAAGAAACATTAATTAAAGTTTGTTGTTTTACATTTTAAAAATCAAAATTTTTAAAACTTTTCTCTGTTACAAATTTCAAAAATATTTCAAATTATATAAATCACAAGAAAAAATATATTAGTATGTAGTAATAGTTAAACTCTCAATTATAAAATATACATTGAAAAAAAAAGAAAATAAAGGGAAATTTTATCACTATACAAAATTTTACTCATCAATTACGAAAATTAAATAAAATTAATAAGAAAATGAATTTCATTATTAAAATTATAACTATATAAGAGATATTTAATAAACTTTAAGAAAATGGGCGATATTTTTTTAAGATTGTAATAAAATATATCATTACCTAAATAGATACTCATGCCACCTATTATGCAGAAAATTAAATTTTACTATAAAAATTAATAAATCACACACAACTAAAACACTCTAATTATAAAATGGCTATTAATTGTTTTTTTTTGTAAGTTTACTGTTTTTTATTTATACATCAAATATTAAAGCATTATTTTAATAGAAACAAAACAATTAATTAGTATAAATTAATTTAATATACCATATATAATAAAAATATTACTAAAATATTTAAGAGAGCTATAACTATTGTAAATCAACAAAAATGCATATTATATTTAAAAAAAAAACAAAAATGAAAATTAAGATGGAATCTTGTTCAATTATATAGACATAACTTATATATATAAATATATATATAAACACATATATATCAATTATATTTAATATTAGGATAATATTCTTTGAAAAGAAAAAAAAATATTTAAAAATCAAAAACGAAGCACACACTTATACATATAAATAATATATTAAAAGAAAGAAATTAAATTGAGTTTTATTTAATAAAAACAAAATGATAAATTAATTCAATTTGTTCGTAGTGAGTTCCAAGGTTACGATATTTGGAGTTGCAACAAAATACTAAAGGGTCTAATCGATAATATAAAATGGGCTTAAAATTCTTTTGCATCTTAATTGATATTACAGTTAATAAAAGCGTTCTAACTTTTAATGCTGTCAACAGATGTCTACATTTGTGTTGTAATTTGTAACCAATAGTGCAACAAACAACAAAATGTAACATAATTAATAACGTCAATTGCCTATCATATATTGTTAAAAATTTTCGTCATTTTTGTGAAAAAAAAATTCAATTGTTGATTTTGCTTTTTAGTACTGTTTGCGTTCACGTACAGTGCTACATTCTATATCCTCATTTACGAAATAGATTTTCCACAGTTACGATATTGATATTCCACAGTCATGTATTATCCAAAAGCTAGACCATACTATATAGTTCGTAATATCATATTGTGAATAAAAAAAACCAAAAAACTGGTTTTGAAATAGAAAAGATATATGTATGTATGTAAGTAGACATACACAGATTCACTGAATTTGTAAAAAGTTTTTTACAAGGATAATAAATTTACTCTCATAAAATGTTTACGTAACGTTACATTATACATTTATACAGAAAACTATGAAGAGTAAAAACAAGTTTTATTTCCGGCTTTTATATTATATCTTTTATTTTATTAACTTTTTAAAACATTTTACATAATTTTATCCCAGGATATAATAACGCAAATCAATCCTTTCAAAATATTCTCATTTACTTAAAAATATATACATGTTACACGTAACCTGTTTTATTATATTTTAATTTCAATATTCTTTTCTTCAATTATTTTAATACATGTATATCATTGTATCTAGGCTATAGCCGAAATTTAATAATAAATATATAAAATCCCTGAAATTTAGAGTATCACATCACACGAAACACGTGTCGTTGTTGATGCTGTAATGGCATAGTGATAATAACGGCTTCTTATAAATCTTCTTTATACACATGTTAATATATACGCACACGTTTTATTTTTTAAATTGAATAAACATCATACCTGGTGAGAAAATATTTTTATAGAAAATCATTCAATTATATAGATCAAATGAAAATAAACACAAAATTATTTTTATATTATATTATTCGTCAATGAATTGAAATTAGATATCAAATTAAATTATCAATTGAAAATAACCATAATTACATCAAAATAAAACATTAAGAATCATAAAATTAAAAGATAAAACGAACAATGAGCATAATGTCAGTCACGTGCAATGCCGTAATAAAAATAAAATATTGCAAAGCATGTAATATATTCATCTTTGTGTGTATGTATGTATTTAATAATATTAAAATAATACAATAATTAATTTTTTTCCTATTTTTAATTGTTATAAGTATACATATACACAATATGTATGAAAGGATACCTGAGATATATGAAAAACAACCGTTACAATATCATGAAAACCTAACCAACGTACAAAAATACAATAATATTTTGACAAGTCATCTTATGTGAATTTTACTAATTATTGCAATTAATAAATTAAAACTGACATTTTCAGAATTTTGTTCTCTTATTGCTTACCGTTGCTATTCATAATAATAATTACAAACATAATAATAATTCTAAAATGTTTAGAAAAACCAAATAAATATACTCTTACAGTCATTATACTTTTACAAAAATATAAACTTCAAAAAATTTTTATACATATACAAATGTACATCAATACATAATGTTTGTATTAAAACATGTTTGCAATCCTTAATTAATATGCAATGTAAAATATTATAGCACTTCCAATAAACAATAGTAGCAATCAATATGAATGAGAATAAAAATTGATTATCATGTTATCAAATGAACACTTTATGTTATGATAAATAATTTTGAAATGATTTCAATCTCGGCTATTTTATTTTTAAATGGTTGTTGTTTTCACTAAACCAGAACATACTTATTTCAATGTCATTTAATATTATCCAATTAGATAAGTAATTTATACTCTTAATTCTTATTATTCAGTCTTATTTTATTAATTATTCTATTTAATATTATTATATTTTCTATTATAGTTACTTATATTTTAATTTAATAAAATATCAATAATAATATCATAATTTTTAGAAACTAAATTTGATGCTTTCTTTCAAAATGTTTACTATTGTGAATGATTATTTTAAAATTTTAAATTAATCTCAAATCATATTGTGAATAAAGAAATGGAATGACAGCAAGCAATTTGAAAATTACACATATTTTTCTTAACATATGTTTTTGAGCAGAAATGTCATTTTGAAAAAATAAAAAAAAAAGAAAATTCTATAACAAAAAAAAAATTCTCACACAAATCAAAGGCAATGCAAAAACAACAAAAAAGAAAAACAAAAAAGGAAATATGGGTACAATTTATAAGTATGTATCTAGTA